AACTTTATTAAGCATTTATGAATATGTGGGATAGTGTAACATATGATCGACCATGCCCTCTTATACTTGTTTACATGTTTTTATTATGTTTGTTTTAAAAACCTCATCTTTATTGGACAAAACTTAAAGTTGATTGACTTTTGCTATGCCTACAATATTAATATAATAATTTATGCAAACATTTTTTTTAAAGAAATGTATAATTAAATTGTTTGTGGATTTGCCTACTTTTCACCTAGTAAATATTAAAATTAATTTGGACAAAAACAATACGGACAAAAATAAAGAATTTGTTTGACCAACATTTTTAGAGCTGCATTCTTTTGGTGCCACAATAAATTTGTATTGTATAATTAGAAGTCTAAAGTTTTAATTAAATCGAATTAAATGATTTGACATAAATTTGTTTAATGATTGATTTTTAATAAGTGAAGATGAAATCTGTCATATCATCATTATTTTTAATGATTAGTTGAAAGCTTTTGTAATCTGTTAACAAATTTTTTTTTTGATCCAATATCTGAAGGAACCGTAATGATAAAGATATGTATTAAAATACTGTGTATTTGAATAACTAGCAATTTGTTTAAACCACCATTAGTGGTGATAGAGGGTATACATAAGTTTGTTTTTATGTGTGTAGTACCAATAAATATTCATCTGAGACCCAACAAAGTATATATATATTCCGGGTTCTTATAGAATTCTAAGTCGATATATGAATGAAGCTATGTCCGTCTGTCTGCCTAAAACATTCTTACGTTAAAACTTAGCAAATGAAATCAAACATATTAACCGAAAGTATTCATTATTGTTGTAAGCAGTTTGGTATTAAAAACAAGTTAGAGTGCTATATTCGGCTATGCCGAATCTTAAATACCCTCCACCAGCAAGCTACTTTTTATTGAGACCCATTTAACTATCTAATTTTTAGATAACTTGGCAAAATTTTTGTTTCCTTATTGAGGGTACTAATATTTATGCATATGTCAAACTAATTTTAATTAGGTCGAGAAAAATGTATATTAATAGGCCAGTTTGAAAACATTTTAATATAATGATTAACTGTACACAGAACATACTCATTTTGAATTTTATCCGGATATAATCATTCAATTACGAATTAAGTGGTATTAAGTGATTTTCAGAAGTATACCTTATATGGGAGCTAAGACAACCTATGGACCGATCCAGAAGAAAAAATCCGTAGAATGATTTATATATACAAAATACACATTTATGTCGAATTTTATCCCGATAACTTTGATTGTTAATGTGCATTTGAGTAATTTTCGGAAATGGTCCTTATATGGGAGTTGTGACCAATTATCAACCGATAAGGAAAAAAATTCGTATAATGATTTATATGCCAAAAAAATTCAAGTCGAATTTTACTACAATAGATTTATTAATTAATGAAATATGTGCGTTTAGGTGATTTTCGGAAGTGAACTTTATATGTATAGGAGCTACGACCTTACACAAAACATACTTGTGTCGAATTTTATCAAGATATCTTTATTTGTTAATGAAATATGTGCGTTTAAGTGATTTCTTTGAAGGAGCTATTACCATATATGGAACAATCCGGAAAAAAATTGGTAGAATGATTTATATGCTCACAAAACATATTCAAGTCGTACTTTATCCAAATAGCTTTATTATTCAAAGAAATATGTGCGTTTAAGTGATTTTCGTAAGTGGACCCTCTATGGGAGCCTATCCGGAAAAAATTTCGTAGAGTGATTTATATAAAGACAAAACATATTTGTGTCGAATTTTATCAAGATAACTTTATTTGACAATGAAATATGTATTTTTAAGTGATTTTCGGAAATGGGGTTATATGAGAGCTATGACCAATAATGGACCGATCCGTAAAAAATTTGGTGAAATGATTTGAATGTACACAAAACGTATTTTTGTCGAACTTTATCCCAATAGCTTTAGAATTCAATGTGTTTAAGTGATTTTCGGAAGTGGACCTTATATGGGAGCTATGACCAATTATGGGCCTATCCGGAAAAAATTTAGTGGAATAATTCATATTTATACGAAATATATTTATGTCGAATTTTATCACGATAGCTTTATTTGACAATGAAATATGTATTTTTAAGTGATTTTCGGAAATGGGGTTATATGGGAGCTATGACCAATAATGGACCGATCCGTAACAAAATTAGTAAAATGATTTGTATGTATACAAAACATATTTGTGTCGAATTTTATCCCGATATCTTTATAATTCAATGAAATATATGCGTTTAAGTGATTTTCGGAAGTGGACTTTATATGGGAGCTATGACCAATTATGGACCTATCCGGAAAAAATTTCGTAGAGTGATTTATATTTAGACTAAACATATTTGTGTCGAATTTCATCAAGATAGCTTTATATGACAATGAAATATGAGCTTTTAAATGATTTTCGGAAGTGGGCCTTATATGGGAGCTATGACCAATAATGGACCGATCCGTAAAAAATTTCGTAGAATGATTTGTATGTATACATAACATATGTGTGTCGAATTTTATCCCGATATCTTTATAATTAAATGAAATATATGAAGTGGACTTTATATGGGAGCTATGACCAATAATGGACCGATCCGTAAAAAATTTCGTAGAGTGATTTATATTTAGACTAAACATATTTGTGTCGAATTTCATCAAGATAGCTTTATATGACAATGAAATATGAGCTTTTAAATGATTTTCGGAAGTGGGCCTTATATGGGAGCTATGACCAATAATGGACCGATCCGTAACAAAATTAGTAAAATGATTTGTATGTATACATAACATATGTGTGTCGAATCTTATCCCGATATCTTTATAATTAAATGAAATATATGCGTTTAAGTGATTTTCAGAAGTGGACTTTATATGGGAGCTATGACCAATTATGGACCTATCCGGAAAAAATTTCGTAGAGTGATTTATATTTAGACTAAACATATTTGTGTCGAATTTAATCAAGATAGCTTTATATGACAATGAAATATGAGCTTTTAAATGATTTTCGGAAGTGGGCCTTATATGGGAGCTATGACCAATAATGGACCGATCCGTAAAAAATTTCGTAGAATGATTTGTATATACACAAAACATGTTTAACTCGAATTTTATCACAATAGCTTTATTCATCAATGAAATATGTGCGTTTAGGTGATTTTCGGAAGTGGACCTTGTATGGGAGCTATGGCCAATTGTGGACCGACTGAGATCTGCGTTGACAGTATGATTTCTGTTCATATTATATTTGCATGTGCAAAATTTTGTGTTGATACCGATATATTTGAGGGAGTTATTAGCTATAAACTAATTTCCGGGAATATATACCTTTGTATGGGGGCTATGGGAAATATTGGATTGATTGTAAAGATTTTCAACATAATTGATCACTGCCATGAAAAAATAATGTGTCACAAAATTCATCGAAATATCTTTGGTAGTTTCTGAGAAAACTTCAAAAGAATGATGAAAAAAACGTAATTTTTTTCGAGGTAGTCTGAAATTTTTACTCATAGCTTTTTACGTTGTGAACCGATTTTGCTGATTTTCAATACCAAACTGCTTAGGATAACAATAAATATTTTGGGTGCATTTCGTTGATTTCCTTTGCTTAGTTTTAACGTGAGCGTGTTTTACACAGACAGACAGACAGACAGACGGACAGACGGACAGACGGACATAGCTAAATCGACTCAGAATTTCATAAGGACCCAGAATATATATACTTTGTTGGGTCTTAGATGAATATTTCTTGGTGTTACACACGGAACGACAAACTTATATATACCCTCTATCACCACTGATGGTGGTGGAGGGTATAATAAGCAAACATTTATTTCGCTTATATTTCAGAATTAATTAAAATAATTTAAATATGGGCATTTCCAGAGTTGAAATATATATATATATATATATATATACATATACATATATTTTTTAAAAATTCTTGTATTTTTATATAGGGCTTCAATTGCTCTATAACTGGTCGGAAGAAGAAATTGAAAGATCTTAATGGCCCTAAGATATAAGTAGTTAAAGTGCGTGACGTGATGTGACAGAAATAGAAGTTGCTTATTTCTTTTTTGACAAAAATGTAAAAATCTGCGAGTTCCTGATAATACAAACACACAAAAAACTTTCAAATGTACAACTACTGACCCTTCTGATGATAATACAATAATCGGTCATAACGCCCATATAAAGCCGATATCCGAAAATCACTTTTTTTTTAAACATTTCTTAAAAATATCATTTGTTGAATTTCTGTGCTTTTTCTTCCACTTATCAACTAAAAAATTATAACTATCACCTAATTGAATAAATTGCATAAATATCACATCTTTTTAAATAACAATATTTCACAATTCGAAGGTTGCACTTGAGAAAATTTATGTAATGTGACGTGACGTGACAGACTTTGAAATTCTATAAAAAATAACCCCGCTTAGAATTATTATTTTTTTTTTCTTTTAAATTGAGTTCTATATACTAAATTTGATTAAGATTCAAAGTTTTGAATACATCTGAATGCCAACTAAAAAGTTATCGGGATAAATCCTGTTTCAACGTGACGAACGTGACATTTAAAAGTCTATGAAAGAAAACCGAAAGTTTGCCTTTTAAGGATCTTTATCTTTTTATATTTGTATGTTTTAGGATAACTATTATTCCAACCAAATATTTTCCGATAAAAGTCCATTTAAATATTAGCCTTTAAAATAATAAAAACTATTAAAAGCAAATGCTACTAAAGGTGCAAAAATATGCCTGAAATATTATTGTAACTTTTAATTCCGATTTCTCATCAATTTAATTTAATAAAATTTTAATCTTTTTCTATAATAATAGAAGTTGAAATTTTATCTTTGATGACTTTTAGTTTTAGAGCCACGGTGGACTTTTCGGTGGAAATGCCCATATACGAACAAATTCAGCTGCTTTCATTTCAAATTTTACACAATTACTATAACACTAATACTTACTATTCATTTCAAATCCTTGTACTCTTATTCCAAACATAGGCATTATGGCTATAAGCCATAAAATATATTTAATCATCATTTTTATAAAGCTTTTTTAATTAAAAAAAATATATATATTTTTATTCTTAAAATTTGTATTCTTTCTCTTCAAAAGTCACAATTATTTTTAACACTTTTTGCTTAAACCATAAATTTTTTTTATTAAAAAAAAAAATCCAACTTTTTTTTAAACCAAAATGTAACAAAATTGTAGAAATAATTTTAAACGTTTAAAACCGTTAAAACACCCTTAACGTTTGAATATTTTTGAATGCAAACCGTACGCGCTCGCAGCTACACGTTGAATGATTTTAAATGACACCTGTATTAATAATAAAACCCTAAAAAATCATTATGTTCCCTAAAATCTACTTACAAACACATAAACCTAAATATATTGGCAGAATTGTAAAAACAAAACTGTAAACACTGTAAGGCCTATATATTGAAAAAAACTGGTCAAGAGACAGAGAGTAAAAGCAAAAAAAAAAAAAAAACAACACAACATCTTATGCATTATTATCGTTAACAACATCATTATGATCTTTATAGAAAAAAACCCTACTAGTCATTTGTTTTTGATGTATTTTTTTATGTGTGTCAAACCTAAAACTAATTTAAGTTCTTAAACAAAAAACAACAAGTGACGAGTGATAATTTGCTTTAATTAAAAGAAATTTACTAAATTAAATTCATACTATAGAAAATTTTTTAATTATTTTGAATTTAGTTTATTCAAAATTCTGAATCTTTTAAACTTTTCTGACCTTCAACTTTATTAAATTATTGTTAAAAATTTTACTTACCTTAACCATTAGAACTGTTCTAGAAATATTAACAAAAGTTACAAACATTTTTTATTTAGCACCTACTCATCTTTTCTTGTATCCCTATATTTGGTTAATTATAATATTATAGTTTTTTATTGATTTGCGTTTCAACTAAAATTTGCCCATAATTACATACAACTTTTTTTTTTAGAAACTTTTTACGCATCTTACTTTACATCAGAGGAGCGCAATATTGCCATTACATAGCACGCGTGATAGGGTAAGAAAATTCTGCTGACGCTAAGTTGATACACATACACTATTGGTTTATTTCTGCTGCTTCTTATCACAAAGTATACAGAGGTGTCACTTTTGACATTTAAAAAAGTCTAAAATCAGCTTTTGTTTGATTTTGAAATTGTTTGGTGAGAAGTGCTATATAAAATACAGCTAAAAAAAATATTGAATTCGTTTTGTGCGAAAGAGAGGGAAATAGTTTTTTACTCGTGACGCCTCTGTATACCCTGTGTTCTTATAATGAGCAATATCAGTTGGTTTGCTCTCAACTTGGAAAACAAAATCAAATCAGTTGCTGATCAGTACTTGTGAATGTAAGGTCTGTGTGCAACTTTTTTAAAATACACACAGAAATACAACACATTTTTGAGAAAGCCGATTAATGTAGGAGAACAGTTGATAGTTTTTATATATAGACTTTGATATACGCTGGCTGTCAAAATCCATAATAAATTTTTGACAGTTAGCATATACTTATAGTTTGTAGACATTTTATTAGTATACCTTTATTTTAAATTGAATTCTGTTCTCTGCTGCTTTACCAACTCAAATAAAACTATGGAAGTCTATGGTAGTATGTGTATGAGCACCACTGCTTTACATTATATTCTAAAGATAAGTTCGATAATATTTCATACAGGTTGTGAGACAACATTTTCTTCATACAGCATAGATGGAAACTTGCGAACGTACAAATAAAATTTTTTAATACATTCGTAACTTATTGAAAAAATACAAATTTATTGCTTTTGAGATATTCGGAAGTTTAAGTGATGAAAATTGTACCTATTTTTGGTACTTTTTTCATCAAACATTGTTTTTATTTATTGACCCCTACATATAAATACATAATGATTGTCCCCCACTATGAAATTACAACTTTTTAGAGTAACCTTTTTATACCCACCATAAAAAAGATGATTTTGTCATTCCGTTTGTAACACATCGAAATATTCGTCATAGCCCCACAAAAGTATATATATTCTGGATCCTTATTAAATTCTAAGACGATCTAGCCAGGTCCGTCCGTCTGTCTGTCTGTTGAAAACACGATAGAGTTCGAAGGGAATGAGCTAGAGGGTTAAAATATTCTCTACTGGTAAGGTTTGTTTGGTATTGAGAATGGGCCATATCGGTCCATTTTTTCGGATAGCCCCCAATTGACCCTACCCCCCATATAAGGTCCCCTTCAGAAAATGACTTTAAAATACGACTATAGCGATGAAATTTTACATAAGTATGTGTCTACTATCAAAAACCTCTCTACCAAATAGTATATGGATCGGTCCATAATTGACCCTACCCCCCATAAAGGTCCCCTTCAGAAAACGACTTTAACGTTCATTACTGGATTCAAAATACAAGTATAGCGATGAATTTGAAGAACGTCTTTTACGAGCCAAAATCTCTCTACCAAATTTTATGTGGATCGGTTCGTAATTGATCCTAACCCTAAAAAATTAAATACATACAAAATTTTGATTATTTTTAATTGATGTTTCTGTTTTTTACGTTCAATATTATTGAAATTTATCACGTCAATAAATTGGCATTCAGTAAGGAGCGTGTATTTTTAATTTTATTCGTTTAGCTTCCACATTATAGAAAATTTCGAAAAAGTACGAAAAGTCCATTTCATTAAATTCTCATTGACTTAGGTCCCTACATATTAAATTTTATATTTCTATGTTCAATATCGTAAAAAATTCAAGAAGTACCTTCTGAAAAACGAAAAAGTACAAAAATCTCTTTCAATAATTTATAATTTAATAAAGATCATGTGTCATGTGTTCCGGTTCCCCATTATAGTGAAACCAAAAGTTTCCAATGAAGAATAGAAAAGTACCAAAGAGTCCCCACTTATAGATCAGTCAGGAAAATTCAAAAAGTATCATTTGAGAGATAAAAAGTATTAAAATGTTCTATCCTAAAGAATCTTTTTCAATAAGGACCGTCTATGGTTAATAATCAGGTGTTTTGGATTCATATTATAGAACATACAAAGAGTATTATTTGAAGAAAGAAAAAGTACAAAAATGGAATAAATTCTACCTTTGTGGAAATTACTAATAAAAAGATTACCATTTTCCCCCATTTCGCCTAAGAATAGACTTTTTCGAAAATTAAGTTTACAAAATATTCCGTGTTTAAATATATATACAAAAGATAAAACTCAAACGATCCAAATCTGCATTCATTTATTTGTTCTAGAAAAATTGTGCTTTCAAAAAGTACCAACAATTTACCCGAACTTGGTCATATAGGGGCCTTAGTACCCGAATTCCAAAGTAATATACCAATAGCTTATTTTGTGCCAGTAAATTAACTTTTTACTCACATTTTATAAAAATTGGCTAAATTGATTTGGTACTTTTTCCCCAAGTGAAATAGGAAATATTTTGTTTAAATTAATATTACCGAGTTAGTCCGTAATCTAATAGGCATATCTAATAGTTATACGTCAATAAATCGAAAAAGTTTTCTTAATGTGGTAAAAAAAAAGTACCAAAAGGACTGAATGTTTTAAAAGATGTGTCCAAAATATTTACCAAAATTTTATTAAGTTAATTAGTTAAAAAGTTATAAGGGGCCAAAAACGGTACCAAAATCACCTTTGTTACACATTTTCACCCCTTAAAAGTGCGAATTTCGAAAAAGTACCAGACACCCATCTGCTCTTTTAAAGAGTAGAAATAGATACATTTAAAATTTTTCTTGTATCACTAATATTGTGTTAGATAATCAAGAAAACTTGTTTTACACGTTTTTTCCCCTTTTTTTCCCCAAATATAAAAATATCCAAAAACCCCTCCTTTGTAAGGTCTCAAATATGACCAAAAAAACGTGATTTTTTTTCCAGTTTTTACACCACATCATCTCAAAAATCTGAAGTGATGGAGAAACTTTGATTCGGATTCAGCACTGCTTAATCCCTTAACAATTTTCACTTCGGATTCAACTTTTTTAAAATTTTGTTTAATTTTTGACTCGTACATCTGTCAATAGATCCTTAATGCCATACTCAAGATTTTTATCTTATTTATGAATAAAATTATCATTTAAGTTTTCGTTTTTAATAAAAAATTAAATTTAAATTAATTAATTTTTTAAGCTTTTACAACAACACAGTTGGCATTACTTTGTATGATTAATGTTAAGTTTATTTATTCCGTAAAAGTCACAGTATACTTTGGGCGTTTGTATTTATATTCACCATACAGCAGCCTATAGCTGCATCCAGAAAACTAAAGTCTATTTTGGGGCGAATTGTAATTGAAAAATGCTATTGAATTCTGTGCGCCTGGTATATCAGTAAAATTTAAAATTTTTGTAAATCGGCAAACAATCAAAACAACAGGGTGAAATTATGAAACTTTAATTAAGATTTTTGAGTAATTCTGGAGATTTTTGGCAAAAAGGTAAATAAGAAATTGACTAATAATTTAAAGGCCTTTTAGTAAGATTAATTACATTGATTTTAAAATTTATTCAAATTTTAAAAAGTTTTTTTTTTTAAGAAACTTATTTGATTTTGTAATTTTAACTCTTTTTTCTTTTTCAGCCATTTAGCTGGTCTAATGCGTTTATGTCAAGCTCGTGCTCGGATTGATTTCTCCAGTGAAGTTACTATAGTCCATGTACGTGATGTTATCTCCATGGTAAGACAAAGTAATGCTGATATGGCAGTAGGAGATTATGTCGATACTAATCCAGCCACTGCTTTAGCCTCAGGCAGAGCCGGTGTTGGTGCCAGTGGTAGTCAAGCGAATTTACGTAAATTTATACAAATGTTACAAATGCGTTCCAGCGTTTTGGCACGACGCATATTTGACTTTGATGAATTAAAAGATATGGCCCGTCGAGTGGGCATACATTGTGGTGTAACAAATTTAATAGACATAGTAAATTTACAAGGTATTTTGTTGAAAAAGGGACCTAATATGTATGAAGTAATGATGGATTAATTAACAACTTTTTTTTTGTTTTGTTTTTTATTTATTTATTAATTTTTCTTTACTATATCTTTAGTTTTCTTGTAAGTATCCATTTATCCAAGTGTTTTTTTTGCTTTATTTTGTTGAAGTTTACCTAAAACTTATGTATTAAATATGAATTAATATATAGTTTTTGATTTAAATTTATTTAATAATAATATTTATAAACTACAATTACAATGTCTTTTTTTAATTTTCTTACTTTTTTGCCATTTGAATATATAAATAAGTTTTATGTTTGCAGTTTTTTTTAATATTTAATATTTAAATTGTGAATTTAAATTTTCGTTTTATTTTTTCTTCTAATAGTAACTATGGTATTTAATTATGTACTTAGAAAGGATGAGACTATAAAAAAACTGTTTAACATATCAAAATGAAACTTTTTTTTAATAAACTATTTACATTAAATTTATTTGTGTTTATTTTTATACTTTATAAATTGTTTACTTTTAAAATTCGTGCAAATACATGTAGAATTGGTTTTAATTTTTTTATTAATTTTTTTGTTTGTTTTTATAACATTTTGTTTTGTTAGTTTTTTCTTTTTTATTTGGCTTTTATTCCAGTTTTTTTTTTAATAAAACTAAATTCTTTATATTTTTTAAATATTTTAAAACTATAATATAACTTTATAGCTAAATAAAATTCTTTTAACTTTGAATGTGTATTTATCTTAAATAAATTTTCACTAAAAAGGCAAGTAATTGTTTTATTATATCATGTTTTTTTCTGTTTTTCTGTTTTTATTTAATGCAAATAAATATTTCATAAATATATAAGTTAATCAGTCGTAAAATAATAAAATTATTAAAAACATAGCTAAAAAAATTTTCTTTACTTATTAAAAAAATTGTTTTACTAAAATATTTTGATTCTAAAAATGTATATTCGTTATTTGAAAATCACTTGTGATGTATATGAAAAATATGACCAAAAAAATAAGTTTAGAAATAATATTTTGAAAAAATGTACTAAATATTTATTGAAATTGTATAGTAATTCGAATTATTCTGAACTAAAACTGAACTCGATCTAAACTAGAACTGAACTAGACTTGAACTAGAAATGAACTAGAACTGAACTAGAACTGAACTGAACTAGAACTGAACTAGAACTGAACTAGAACTGAACTAGAACTGAACTAGAACTGAACTAGAACTGAACTAGAACTGAACTAGAACTGAACTAGAACTGAACTAGAACTGAACTAGAACTGAACTAGAACTGAACTAGAACTGAACTAGAACTGAACTAGAACTGAACTAGAACTGAACTAGAACTGAACTAGAACTGAACTAGAACTGAACTAGAACTGAACTAGAACTGAACTAGAACTGAACTAGAACTGAATTAGAACTGAACTAGAACTGAACTAGAACTGAACTAGAACTGAACTAGAACTGAACTAGAACTGAACTAGAACTGAACTAGAACTGAACTAGAACTGAACTAGAACTGAACTGCACTGAACTGAACTAGAACTGAACTAGAACTGAACTAGAACTGAACTAGTACTGAACTAGAACTGAACTAGAACTGAACTAGAACTGAACTAAAACTGAACTAGAACTGAACTAGAACTGAACTAGAACTGAACTAGAACTGAACTAGAACTGAACTAGAACTGAACTAGAAATGAACTAGAACTGAACTAGAACTGAACTAGAACTGAACTAGAACTGAACTAGAACTGAACTAGAACTGAACTAGAACTGAACTAGAACTGAACTAGAACTGAACTAGAGCTGAACTAGAACTGAACTGGAACTGGAGCTGAACTAGAACTTAACTAAAATTCCTTGCACCACGAAAGCTATAATTCGAATCGATAATATTTAAATACAAATAACATTTAATTCTAATTGCAATATAGAAACTGAAAAAAAAAACTGTGCAAACAAATCAAAAAATTAATTATTTTGAATATTAAGTGTAAAATAATTTCTATATTATTTTAAACAAAAATCATGTATTACACATTTACATTTTTAATTTTTCGTATTTTTTTTTTAATTTTTTTTTATTTTACGTACTAAAAATTTCGTGTGTGATTTTTTATTCTAATCTAAAAAGTGCCTTGTTGTGATGTTTTTATTAAATTTCTTATTTTTTTTTTTATAAAGTGTTTTATTTTGTTGTTGTTGTTTTATAACTATATTTTATATAATGCCTGAGAAATAAACCCTTTTACATAATGTTAAATAACTGAAGCTGTTGTAATAAATAAATAAGTTAAATTAAAAGTGTTGGTTTAAAATGTTTTTCTTATTTTTCATTTTTCGTGACAAAGGTACTTTACTTATAAATGTTAAATACTTAATGTAATATACATAAATATATATTTTTTGTTTAAAAATTATTTGATTTTTTTCTTGAATCTTTGTTGTTTCATAATTAAGAGGACGTGGTAGTGGTTGGCATATATTGCACTAATAATAGTTTATTTTTTGGACATTGGGAAAATGTAGTGATCAATTTTGTTAAATAATTATACAGAACTAGAACTAAAAAAAGAGAACAGAACTCGAACATACACTGAACTAGAACAGAGCTAGAATAGAACTGGAACTGAACTGGAACTGAACTAGAACTGAACTAGAATTGAACTAGAACTGAACTAGAACTGAACTAGAACTGAACAAAAATTTAACTTGAACTGAACTAGAAATGAACTAGAAGAGAACTAGAATATAATTGGAATTGAACTAGAACAGAACTAGAAAAGAACTGGAACAGAACTAAAAAAAAGCTAGAACAGAACTAGAACCGAACTAGAACAGAACTAGAACTAACACAGAACCAGAACAGAACTAGATCAGAATTGGAATTGAACTAGAATTGAACGAGAACTGAATTAGAACTGAACTAGAACTGAACTAGAACTGAACTAGAACTGAACTAGAACTGAACTCGAACTGCACTAGAACTGAACTAGAACTGAACTAGAATTGAACTAGATCTGAACTAGAACAGAACTAGATCAGAACTAGAACAGAGCTATAATTGAATTTCATAATTTAAATTTACAAAATTAACAAAATTCTCGCTACATTTTGCCAATTTTTTTCGATTTTTATAATTCAAACTAATTATGTTTTTGTAATTTTAAACACATCATTAAAAATTTACTACTTTTGTATAAAAACAGCAAATGGTAAACAAAAAAACTAAATCATAAAATTATAATAAAATACTGTTGTAAAATTAAAAAAAAATTTCAATAATTATGTGAAAGCTATTGTTGTATTAGAAAGAAGACTGTAGTTTAAAAGAAAGTTGGAATGATTTAAAAGAAATATATTTCTGTTTAATTGGTATTGTATTTGGAAAGAAAAAGTAGTTGTAGTAGTAGTAGTTATAAATACAAAATAAATTAAAATTTGTACATATTTGTTATATGTTTATGGAAAAAACACCCAGGAAACTATAGTCATAAAAACTCAGTCTGAATTAATTAAAGCAGTTAAAAAAAACGTAAAATTATAAATCAGTCAAAATTATAGAAATTATACAACAAATTAAAATTATAAAAAAAACTAATTAAATAATATGAGATTCTAAGAAATTATACATAAATAATAAATTATAGAAACTAAAAAAATGCCCTTTAAAAGTTTAAAATGATAAATTATTTTTTTTTTTAATTTTTAGGTTTAAAAATCTAAGTTTTAAAAGTAACATTAAACGTTAAAATTTCCATGGGCTTAAGGGTGATTTCGTTAAAGGATTTCAAAAGCTTACGTTGTTGTGATGTTAACATGCCAGTCAAACTGGTTGTTTCTAAACTCTGCAAATGCAATTTATTGAAACTAACATTACCCAGACCCTTTTTATCAAGTGGACATAGATTCGATAAATCTACCATTTTATTGTGTACCGCACAATCGTAACCCTGGCGCTGTAATATCATAAGAGCCGATGATGAGGGGAACAATTGTAATTGTTCTTCGGAGAGAGTACGGAAATTCAGGAAATGTACATCACAGGGCCAAGGACCATCATCCAAAAGCAATGCTTTGGATTTCAATTGTGGTGGATTATCGAAGTTTTCCACAAAATAAGTGGTGGGTGGATAGCGTAAACCATTCGCTAGATAATTGCTTAAGAGACTGGGTACTTGGTATTTATTTTGTTTTGCAGTGGCTGTAGGCATATCTTCGATTAGTACCCAGAATTTGTGACGTGTTAGACGACTGTCTACTATACCCTCACCCATGCCGCGATAGTCATCGTATAATGTACGTCTATCTAACATTACCTCTAATTGACCGGGTTCATAACTAGCGGCACCTTGAGCATGCGTTGTCAATAAGGTAAATCTTACTTTGTCATCCTGCATAAAGGCAGCCGTTGTAATGGGAAAATAGTTGCCTTCAATGCCTATCGAGGGAACTTTAATGCGTCTGTTGTAATAGAAAAAAAATTGTAAAATTGAACACTTTTATTAATTCCGCTTCTGCCTTACCTGTGATATTGAAAACCATTTTGATCTGTATAAAATTCCGGCAATTCTGGTATGGTATCACCCTCTTTTAAAGTATCCTTATTAACGGGAGCTATATTATCTACATCGGTTATAAAACGCATAAATAATTCTGTTTCCCTATTCTTAGGTGGTGGTTCAAAATCTATATCATTTTCTATATAAATTGCTGCATCTAGATGTGTCTTGGTATTGAAGATTCGTACGGTATGCGCCAGGAAGGGACCGTATATAACGGTTACATCACTGGCTATGGGACCAGATGTTATTATAATACGTTTATCTTCATACTGTTCGAGTACGTCTTTTTCCGCCTCACTTTGTTCGGGATCAGTTTTGAAAAGATAGGCGCCTGAATGAAATTGAGCACTACGATATGCAGCAAATTTAATGGCACACTGCATGGGATTGAGAAGTTGCTGATCGGGTCCTTTGCGTGTTATAGTCTTCATGAATCCATTCTTTTCGTCGAACAGTATACGCATGAAATTATTTCGAGTTGAACATCGCCTGGAAGATAAAACAAACATTATACTTTTATACAGAATATATCAGAAAAAATGGAAGCCGGAAGAACAGAACTGAAGTAGAACTGAACTAGAACTGAACTAGAACTGAACTAGAACTGAACTAGAACTGAACTAGAACTGAACTAGAACTGAACTAGAACTGAACTAGAACTGAACTAGAACTGAACTAGAACTGAACTAGAACTGAACTAGAACTGAACTAGAACTGAACTAGAACTGAACTAGAAACTGAACTAAAACTGAACTAGAATTGAACTAGAACTGAACTAGAACTGAAATAGAACTGAACTAGAACTGAACTAGAACTGAACTAGAACTGAACTAGAACTGAACTAGAACTGAACTAGAACTGAACTAGAACTGAACTAGAACTGAACTAGAACTGAACTAGAACTGAACTAGAACTGAACTAGAACTGAACTAGAACTGAACTAGAACTGACTACTGAACTAGAACTGAACTAAACTGAACTAGAACTGAACTAGAACTGAACTAGAACTGACTAGAACTGGACTAGAACTGGACTAGAACTGAACTAGAACTGAACTAGAACTGAACTAGAACTGAACTAGAACTGAACTAGAACTGAACTAGAACTGAACTAGAACTGAACTAGAACTGAACTAGAACTGAACTAGAACTGAACTAGAACTGAACTAGAACTGAACTAGAACTGAACTAGAACTGAACTAGAACTGAACTAGATCTTAAGTAGAACTGAACTAGAACTGACTAGATCTGAACTAGAACTGAACTAGAACTGAACTAGAACTGAACTAGAACTGAACTAGAACTGAACTAGAACTGAACTAGAACTGAACTAGAACGGACTAGAACTGAACTAGAACTGAACTAGAACTCAACTAGAACTGAACTAGAACTGAAGTAGAACTGAACTAGAACTGAACTAGAACTCAACTAGAACTGAACTAGAACTAGAACTCAACTAGAACTCAACTAGAACTGAACTAGAACTGAACTAGAACTGAACTAGAACTGAACTAGAACTGAACTAGAACTGAAGTAGAACTGAACTAGAACTGAACTAGAACTGAACTAGAACTGAACTAGAACTGAACTAGAACTGAACTAGAACTGAACTAGAACTGAACTAGAACAGAACTAGAACTGAACTAGAAGTGAACTAGAACTGAACAATAACTGAACTAGAACTGAACTAGAACTGAACTAGAATTGAACTAAAACTAAACTAGAACTGAACTAGAACTGAGCTAGAATTAAACTAGAATTGAACTAGAACTGAACTGGAACAAAAACTTTTTTTTCGATAATCACTCACCTGGTGGTTTCGATTTAACCACAAATTCCTCCTTTGTCATTGGCGCTTCTGTTGTACCCTCGACATTATCCGAACATTCATCGCAATATATTGAAGACATAAAACGTTTATAGTTCACCTCATCCACAACTACTTGATAGGATGTTAAAGATAATGCTTCCATTTCAGCAATAAACATAACCTCATATTGACGTTTAGAAATGCGTATACGTGCCGCACTGCTAGAACCCATCATACCCATACCCATTTCATAGGGATCGGTAATATTCCAAACCGGATTTATTTGTACATTTCTTAGTTCCACCCCCATATCATTAATAATTTTTATGTACGGTGTAGTGGTGCGAATAGTTATAGCTTCTACACGTTTGTGGGTTAAAGGATTAAAGACAACAAATGAGGCCGATTTACCATCAGCCGAAGAAGAGGTGAATTCAATTGAGAAATCATTGTTTTGTCCATTAGACGCTGTTAAAGGTATGGGTGTTTTACGTGGTAATTTACTGAAATTATCTCTTTCCAATTCGCTCAAAAGGAAATTATGTCTTTGGGTACCGTCTTGTATGAGTAATTCAATGGTGGATTCTTGCATTCTCACCGCATCCTGTAAACTTTCAAACAAACGCATGCCGTAGTCACGCATAACTGCTGCCTTCGAGGTTCCCGTTATAGCATCATGATGCTGGAAGAGACCCAAATTACGTCTGGCATGTATCATTTTCTCATAGTTCTTTTCAAAGATTTTAATGGCATTTTCATTATGTTGTTGACGGGCGGTATTGTAGGCTAAGGTAAAGAGAATTTCGGCTATTCTAAGATTTTGTTCCAAATCGGCGCTGAGAATTTTATATGAAGGTCTAGTTGTGAAATAACCAGACCAATAAGCTGGTCTACCCTCAGAAAATATATCAGAATAAACAAAAAAGTCTCCTTTGAAAGTGGGAAATTCTTTGGTTCTCTTTTTAATTTCAGCAAAATAATCCTTGGGCGTACCAAACGCTATATCCACATTGTACAAACGCTTATTGGCCATTATATGATCGATTAATTTTTTATAATTCGTATATTGTTGATCCACTTCCC